ACGTTAAGGAACAAGAGCTAAACTTCTGCCCTCCCTAAGCTTGTGCTTTCGTAACAGCTGCAGTTCTGCATCTAGGAGGCCGACAAAAGTCTGCAACCTAAATGCTCTTTGGATGACCGGTGAATTGGTTTGCAGTGAGAGATGATGGTCTCTCCCCGCTGTCCAGTGTGGTTGTAGGAATGTAAAACTCCCAGTTGCACCTCAGGAAGAAGCACTGAATCCTGTGTGTAGGGTTTGCAAGCTCCACGCAAACACAAACAAGGTAATAGGAAAATTACTGTCTTTGGTATTTTCTTTTCAAAGTCTCTTTGGATGACCGGTGAATTGGTTTGCAGTGAGAGATGATGGTCTCTCCCCGCTGTCCAGTGTGGTTGTAGGAATGTAAAACTCCCAGTTGCACCTCAGGAAGAAGCACTGAATCCTGTGTGTAGGGTTTGCAAGCTCCACGCAAACACAAACAAGGTAATAGGAAAATTACTGTCTTTGGTATTTTCTTTTCAAAGTATCTTTGTGGGGGGTGGAGGAAGGGTTTAGAGAAAGGTCAGATGCGAAGGTCTCTGAGATCAGTCCCCACACAAGACCATTCCTTTCCACAATGAAGACAACTTAAGAAGGTGAATTTCTGGCAGGAATGGAAGGATTAAGTTTGTGGCAACTTCCACTGAACTTGCAACGTGGTGAAACATGGGGAAAAGAACAACAGAGCTAATTAGACGAGCTGAGCTGTCAGAGTGCAGCTGAATGGCTCAGTGCCAACAAACAAAAAGAATGGGCTGGCAATCAGCAGGATCGATGGAGAAGACTGCTTCATTAGGGATGATAAAACAGAGAAAGAGAGAGAGAGGGAGGCAAGCAAGAGGGGTACTGGGAGGGAGAAGGAGAGAGGGAACGCGAGAAAGGAAGAAAGAAAGCTGTTTAATTAAGCCTGAGCTGGAAGATGATGCGCAAAGCTGGCTTGTCATCGCGCTGGGAACACTTTCACCTTTTGGGTGGTACTCAAGGGGGGGATGACTTTGGATGGCTCCTCTAGTGTTACCGGCCCAGCAGTGTCTGGGGAAAAACGCTAAGAAGGATTTAGAGCGCTGCGCTAGGGAGGCTGAAGGGGAAAGTCAGGAAACAAGCCAATTCCTTGTTGGATTTGAAGCTGTATCTATCCAAGCAGTCTGGGTTAAATGTGTGCTGAATGCATAAGCATTTAGAAAATCCGACTGTCCAAGTGTGTGTCCATGAAAGAAAGGGTAAACACCTACTGTAAAAGGGTTACATTTGCACAGAATACTCCCCACTTCACCTTACACATTATTATGCAACATTTCAAGTGCTTTTCTTTAATTGACAGAAGTTTCATTCCAATCCACTATAAACAATGGATCCTTTGTCAGGGAGCAGCATTCATTCCCAAACAGTGAAATAGAAAAAGGTTATTTCTTATACATTTCCTTACTGTGTTTTTATTTGAAACTACTCCAGTGACGCATGCTACAGACATTCCTTCCCCATAAATGCCATTACCTAGCATCTGCATAAAGAAGTGGCTTTCAAGTTCTTTTCATTTCCAGACCCCTAAAAATTTGGAACAGAGGTGCACATCTCTTTGGAAATCTTAACCTGTGGACCCCAAGGGTCAGTGAACCAACTACAGGTTGAAATGCACTTCTAAGGAAACAGCTACCTTTCACGAACCACTTAGACCCACTCTGCGGACCCCCAGAGGCCTGCGGAGGACAGGTATCTCCTGGCAGCAGGCAAGGGGAGGGAGTGTTGTGTGGTACTGGGGCTTTGGCACAGAAATCAGGGTAACTGGAGTCCCCACCCTGGACAAGTGACTTCCTGATACCTACCTCTGCAACACATCTAAGTACAGGGAGGGAAAAGCACGCTGTAGCTTTTAGCTTCAGGCTAGAAAGTGTGTTTTATGTATTCAAACCAGAACAACCGTATCAATGAACATGTAATTTATGGATTTAATCAACTTTAAAAACTAATTTTGATATCTCTTCCCCCCGCCACTTATCCCTCGAAGCCAAAGTATAGCAGCTCTGTATTCTCAGTCCATGCAAATACGATGTGTAAGTCATACTTGCATAGCTGTTGGAACAAAAGGTCTAGAAACACATTTATCCAGAGCTATTCTATCTAGATTTTCATCCTAACGAACCCAGCATCCCAGTGGCATTTGTTAGCACAGGCTGTTGAATGCAAGAGGAGATTTTAGTTTTACTGCCCAACTTTTTATCCATCACTTTGGGAGAAAAGACAGTTGACACAAACACATCATGCCGAGGATGACTAACATTCTACGTTTGAGAAATTATACAAACTTGGCAACATCTTATTTGATATAAAACACTATTCAAATGGAAGCAATATTGTTCAGTAGCGTTTTGTCCACAGAAGTCCCTGCATAGCCCGATGACAATACACCAGCTTAGAACAGAACAAGAGAAATGTAAAGTGCTGGTTTTAGAAGGAAAAAGGGGAAAACGTGTTCCTGTGTATCTTGCAGGGTCTCCGATACCAATTACAACCAAGGAGATGCATAAGCCAAGTTAGCACTGCCGTCTATACCTGTAGAAAGGACGTGTACAATGCAGAAATCCATAACAATGACTCTTAAGCTGAACACCCGCAGGCACAAAGAAAAAATCATGCCGCTTAAGTTTGAACTAGGAACATGCACCGAAGGTTAAAAGTGAGCCCACACCCATGTGCACTGGTTAACCTGCTTGCCTGCACATCACAGAGATTAAACCTCTTTAACAAGTTTTAGCAAGACTAGATTTGAAAACTTGCTAGGTTGTTTTTTAAAAAATTATATAAGGAAGCAAGTAGAGAAAGCATTTGCCTTATGATGAAATTATGCTCCCTGGGCAAAAAACCTAAATAGAATTAAGTACCCTCTTAGTTTCTTGCAAAAACAACTGTCAGCTTGAACTGACACCCACTTATTTCCTTTGGTAAATAACAGTCACTGCCTCAGATCTAGCAGAGTCTCCATTTTTAAAGGCATCTGGAATAGTTAACATGCAACAGTATGGCTACAAATCAGTGTTTAAAATAGAAAACTGCTTAGACAACATTTCCTTGCCTAACACAGGTGCCGCACTGATTTCTGTGTAGTTTTTCTGTAAAACACGCATTTGGTCTTATCAAGATGTTGGTGCCTGAAATTTTTTATACTGTATATAATTAAATGAATCTCCAGCTAGTATTTAAAATGAGCATCATACACATTTCTATCCAGGACACAATGTGGAACTGCCCGGACACAGATTCCCTTTTCTTTAGACCTATCCAACTCATGTACTCTAGGAGGAAAAATTTAACAATCTATCCCAATGCATTTACAGCGAGACCTGGGGAAAACAAATAACAGTGTCAGATTTTTGCTTCCTTCATATTTATGAGATTAATGCAAGTCTTCAAAAGCTCACTGGCTAAAAACTTATGCCAGGCGAGAAGAAGTTTTGGCTTAAACAATTACCACAAGAGGAAAAACAACAGTGGCATCAGCTACCTGCAGAATTGACCTGCAGCTGCAGAACTTGTCAAAGAAAAGCAGAATAAAATGCAGGTCCCAAGGTTGCGCCACAGCAGAGAAGGAGGCAGTTTAGGAGCATAATTCT